ATAATCCTTTTCTGGGTTACTCATCCAAACATATGTTGATTCACAGCATGAAAAACTTCTGCCAGGGCCCAGGCACCAAGGAACTTATTTTGTTTATATCTTAATGTGCTTCTGTCTCCTTGAACCCCAGTCGGCCTCAGCAGATGGCTGCTCACACTGAGTCAGGTTCAGCTGGAGGTTTCTTCCTGTTCAAAATGAGTTTTCCTCTCCACTGTCGCTACAAGCATGCTTGCTGTGAGGGATTGCAGAAAGTCAATGAGTAATCACCTTGTTTTAGAGAGAAATATTTTGAAGAACATGATTATTACCTGTGGCTGCTCAGTGGAGCAGTGGGTAGCACTGCTGCCCTTGCAGCAAGAAGGTTGTGGGTTTGATTCTTGCCCCAGGGTGTGTTTGCATGTTCTCTGTGGGTACTCTCTTGGTACTCCAGCTTTGTCCCACATTCCAAAAGCATGTCTGTTGGGTATATTGGCTTCGCAAAATTCTCCTTAGGTGTGAGTGTGTCTGTCTCTGTGATGACCTGGGATGGACTGGCAACCTTTCCAAGCTGTGCCCCGTAGACAGCTGGAGATAGGCACCAGCACCCCTCACAACCCCATTTGGGATAAAGTGTGTCAGAACATGGTTACCTGTATAAATAAACTGAATATTTTCTAATTACAGCTTTTCTCTGTTTGAGTTTCTCCAGGTTTAAATGTTGGACACGACAGAAGCATAATGCAATCCAAAAAAAAGCTATTTTTACACCAAGTTTAAAAATCTTTTTCTAACATTCTAAGTCTTTTAACATAAATGGCTCCTGACCACTGTTTACTGAGATGTTTAAATACTATTCGCTGTTTACTTGATTGTCTCTATTTTTTTTCCTTTTATGTAATACACAAAATAAAGGTTTTATATTCAAGTTTTAAAGGAGATAAAGATCTAAGGTCTGCAGGCTTAATACTCCCCCCTCAGGAGGGGGAACCCTAATCCTAACGTAGGTGGATAAAAACCTAAACCTAAAGTCAGTGGTTTTAGAATAAACTCATCAAATGTGAATTTACGGTACTGACTGCAAAAATGTCTGTGGCTTGCTCCCGTAAAATGGACCAATAAGAAGGACAATTCAATTGAATTCCTTTCAGCTTATTCATATAGCGCTAATTCACGACACATATAATCTCAAGGCACTTTACAGTTCACCAGATCATAAAGTGAGATTGATTCAAAGTTTTCTGTGTAAGGAAAACCAGTTGATTGCATCGACTCATTAACTCAAAGGTAATCCCTCACACACAGCATGCTTGTAGCGACAGTGGGGAGGAAAACCTCCCTTTTAACAGGACGAAACCTCCAGCAGAACCAAGCTCTGTGTGAGGGGCCATCTGCTGAGGCTGACTGGGAGACAGTAGCAGACATGGAAATAGAAGCAGAGATACAAACAGAAACTGTAAAAGGTGGCCCCGTCCAGGAAACACACAGCTAGGCAGACGAGCTTCAAGCCAGCTCCCATGTCAGAGGATCAAAGAGAGCACATCCAGTTAGTCAGTCAGAGAAACAGGCCGATCTCCAACATCTATAAAACAAGGGTGTTGATGGCAGCAGCACGGGTGATATTTCTCTCCAGGATGGAGTCACAGCCAATCAGGAACAGACCAGATGAAGCTACTATGAGAAAAAGCAGAGAGAGCAGAACGTTAGAGATTGAACTAACAGATTCTCCTGAGTGGGAGAACAGAGATAGAATGAAGCAAAATGATGAAAAAGGGCTCCCTATGTCCTCCAGCAGTCTAAGCCTATAGCAGCATAACTATAGAGATAGCTCAGGATAACCTGAGCCACTCTAACTATAAGCTTTATCAAAAAGGAAAGTTTTAAGCCTAGCCTTAAAAGTAGACAGGGTGTCTGCCTCACAGACTAAAACTGGCAAAAAATGTATTATAATTTCAAATACTTCTATGTCTAAACAAACTGTAATCAGTGTTGTTGTCACTTTCAGAGACATTTGCTTTGTAAATTGTGCCACCATTACAAGTTTTTCAAAACAGCCACAGTTGAACTGAATTGATCTTAAAGCACAGCTGTTTATCTTACTGTTACTCTTCATGATATTCATTTGAACTCTGATCAGTCACTGTACAGTAATTAGACTATTTATATGAACTGAGTGCTATAGTAAAATGAAAGTAATGAATCCTCCCTCCTGTGTCTGATCAAATATTATTTTAACTGAGTCTTTATTGCAGTAACTTCTGATAGAACTATGAGTCAAAAAAAAAGAAAAAAAAGAGAGATAATGGTGGGAAACTATGCAAGAGGCTTTTATAAGGAACAACTTGCAAGTCGATTAACCATCTAAGGAGGAGCGCTGCTGGAAGGATTAGTTGGAGGAGGAGCAGCAGCAGCTCTGATTTCTCCTTCCACTCCAAAGGTTTAATGTAACTGAAAGCACAAAGCTGAACACATTCCACTTTTTTGAAAGGGCGGGATCAGCGCAGACACAAAACCGAGCCCAAAGTTGGGTAAAACCTGATGTGATGTGGTTGCAGCTGCCTCAACCTGCAGCTCTTCTTTTGAAAGCTGCAGCTGTTTATCTCTGTTTACCCTCAGGTCATGTGACTGTGTTTAGGTGAAGCCACTGATAAGGCAGCAAAACTGCTTGACTGCCTTGCATCTCTGATGGAACTTAAAAGCTTGCGAGGAGCCTAATGATGGGCTCTTAACAGGAAGTTCTGTGTTACTAAAGGATGGAAGTGCTTTTATCCTCTTGTCAGCTGGAGATGTATAGATAAGCTTTACAGTATAGATGCATGGACTTCCCCACTGAGCTTTTACTGTAACCTCCCTGTGGTCATAAATGACTTAGCAGCAAGTTAGCACTTTACACTGCACCATCACTTCACACAATAGTGCTAATAAATCCTTACTTTTATCAAATTAGACATTTATATCACTAAACAAAAGATTACTGAAGTCAACAATAAAAGGAAAACTGCTCAGAACAGAAAGATGTATATTGCTATCAACAGATTAGACTTTGACTGAGAGACTGAGAGAAAAAATGTCATAACAAATAGGATCAACGTTACATCAAAGAAGAGTCAGAAGGATATGAAAAATACACACAGAGCAGAAACAAATACAATAAAAACAGCTATATTATGGCGCATACACTATATTGCCAAAAGTATTTGCTCACCCATCCAAATTATTGGAATCAGGTGTTCCAATCACTTCCATGGCCACAGGTGTATAAATTCAAGCACCTAGGCATGCAGACTGTTTTTACAAACATTTGTGAAAGAATGGGTCGCTCTCAGGAGCTCAGTGAATTCCAGCGTGGAACTGTGATAGGATGCCACCTGTGCAACAAATCCAGTCGTGAAATTTCCTCGCTCCTAAATATTCCACAGTCAACTGTCAGCTGTATTATAAGAAAATGGAAGTGTTTGGGAACGACAGCAACTCAGCCACGAAGTGGTAGGCCACGTAAACTGACGGAGCGGGGTCAGCGGATGCTGACGCGCATAGTGCGAAGAGGTCGCCAACTTTCTGCAGAGTCAATCACTACAGACCTCCAAACTTCATGTGGCCTTCAGATTAGCTCAAGAACAGTGCGCAGAGAGCTTCATGGAATGGGTTTCCATGGTCGAGCAGCTGCATCCAAGCCATACATCACCAAGTGCAATGCAAAGCGTCGGATGCGGTGGTGTAAAGCACGCCGCCACTGGACTCTAGAGCAGTGGAGACGCGTTCTCTGGAGTGACGAATCGCGCTTCTCCATCTGGCAATCTGATGGACGGGTCTGGGTTTGGCGGTTGCCAGGAGAACGGTACTTGTCTGACTGCATTGTGCCAAGTGTAAAGTTTTGTGGAGGGGGGATTATGGTGTGGGGTTGTTTTTCAGGAGCTGGGCTTGGCCCCTTAGTTCCAGTGAAAGGAACTCTGAATGCTTCAGCATACCAAGACATTTTGGACAATTCCATGCTCCCAACTTTGTGGGAACAGTTTGGAGCTGGCCCCTTCCTCTTCCAACATGACTGTGCACCAGTGCACAAAGCAAGGTCCATAAAGACATGGATGACAGAGTCTGGTGTGGATGAACTTGACTGGCCTGCACAGAGTCCTGACCTCAACCCGATAGAACACCTTTGGGATGAATTAGAGCGGAGACTGAGAGCCAGGCCTTCTCGTCCAACATCAGTGTGCGACCTCACAAATGCGCTTCTGGAAGAATGGTCAAAAATTCCCATAAACACACTCCTAAACCTTGTGGACAGCCTTCCCAGAAGAGTTGAAGCTGTTCTAGCTGCAAAGGGTGGACCGACGTCATATTGAACCCTATGGATTAGGAACGGGATGTCACTTAAGCTCATATGTGAGTCAAGGCAGGTGAGCAAATACTTTTGGCAATATAGTGTATCTGATAGCTTTTGGTGGAATTTTAATTCAATTCAGTTTAATTATATAGCGCCAATTCCCAATGTTCTGTTCTCCAATATGTATATATAACAATATGTTGAGGCGACACAGAAGCACGCGTGACCACTCTTCAACTTAGCAGGTACACCCTTTATTTGTTCCCCCCGCCCAACACAATACAGTACAAAGGTTCCTATGCACAGATAGCCTGATACTACATCCCCCTTTCTGAATAGGATTTGTTATGAGGGTCTACGTAAGAACATGTAGAAATGTAAACTTAAATTACACACCAGAAAGATGCATCCTGTGAAATAACCAAGATTAACTCAGTATCTTACTAATACTTCTCCACAGCAGAATGTGCTAGAACACTAACTTATTACTGCTTATTTAGTTTACACTAACATTGCACAAACTTAAATGTCTTTCCGGTCACAGACCCAGCATTAGAACAAAGATATAGATCAATCTCAGAACATCAGAGCAATCTCTATAACATTTAACTTTAGCTACTAAGAGGGAGGGGTGGACTACCCAAATCCTCTATCTGAGTGTGGGGATTATTCTGCCCCATGCAGAAAACTCACTCAGTTCCTATGAACGAATATAATCATCCAGATAGGCTGGAGGTCTCCTGTTCCTCAGTGAAACTCGACTCTCATGTGGTGGAGTCTGATGGCTATCCTCCTGCTGGTCTTCATCTGGAACCGGTGTGTGTGAAGAATTGTTAAGATTTTCTTCAGGTAATGTCTCGTGTGGAACAGCAGAAGTCTCAGGTGTAACAACAGATGTTTTGGCTGCTCCCGGAGTGTGTGAAAGATGGTAGCTATTCCTTCTCAGCTTGCCTCTGGGTGTCTCGATGATGTAGGATCGAGGCGACCCTGCTCCAGACACCACTGTTCCTCTGGTTTGCAGATCTGTCACCCACACATTCGCCCCTGGACGTAGGAGTGACATGTTGCGTGCCCGGTGCCTCCGGTTGTAGTTTTGTGTTTGTTTCTGCCTGTAGTTGTTCTCCGCAGTCCTCAGCTTTTCCACATCAATCGTCTTTGGCGTTAGCTGCGACTGAGTAACAGGAACAGTTGTCCTTATCCTCCTTCCCATGAGAAGCTCAGTTGGACTGAATCCATTCGCTAATGGAGCTGAACGGTAGGCCATAAGAGCAAGATACGGATCCCCCGCCTTTTTAAGGAGATTCTTGACAGTTCTGACAGCTCTCTCAGCCTCCCCGTTGCTTTGAGGGAAATTTGGGCTGGATGTTTCATGACTGAAACCCCATTCTTGTGCAAATCTTTTGAAGGAATCCGAAGCAAACTGTGGCCCATTATCAGAACGGAGACGTTCTGGTATGCCATGGCGTGCAAAGATGGACTTACAGTGTTCGATCACTCCCTCAGATGTTGTGGATGTAAGTTTTACAACTTCAAAGAATCTGGAAAAATAATCCACAACAATCAAGTATTGTTTGTCCTTAAACTGGAATAGATCAGCTCCCACCATGACCCATGGTCTTTGTGGAAATTCAGTGGACAGTAGTGGCTCTTTGTGTTTAGTTCTCTCCCGACAACATGTGTCACAGGTCTCCAACAGCTTAATCAGCTCACTGCTGAGACCTGGCCACCACACTGAATGTTTGGCCCTTTCTCTACATTTAGTTATCCCCAAGTGACCCTCATGCAGCTTCGATAGAATGTCCTTCCTGAGAGAAGCTGGAATCACTATTCTGCTACCATACAGAAGCAGACCATTTTGGACAGTAAGTTCCCCTGAAAACGGCAGATAAGGCTGGAAACCTTTTTCAATAGAGTATTTATCTGGCCATCCGTCCACACAGAACTTTTTCAGCTGTTGGAGTACACTGTCGCCATCCTGATGTCTCTGGATTTCCCTCAGTCGTGGTTCCGTGGCAGGTAAACATGCAACGACTGAGTCAACGTACAAGTTGACCTCCTCTTCTTGCAGTCCTCCCAACTCGTTGAGGATTGGAGCTCTAGACAAGACATCAGCTGTAGCGATATTTTTGCCAGCCACATGGGAAATACTGTAGGAAAATCTCATTAGTCTCATTCGCAGTCGCTGTATGCGAGGAGGAAGCTCATTTAGACTCTTCGACCCCAGCAGCGGGACTAACGGCTTATGATCGGTTTCAATGTGGAACCTCTTCCCGATCAGAAACTCTGCGAACCTCTCACAGGCCCATGTTGAAGCGAGAGCCTCTTTCTCAATCTGAGCATACCTCTGCTCTGTCTCGCTGAGAGACCGTGATGCATATGCCACTGGCCTCCATCCTGTATCAGGGTGTTTCTGGAGAAGAACTGCACCGAGTCCATACGATGATGCATCTGCTGAAACGCATGTCTCTGCATTCGGGTCATACAACGCTAGTCCTGGTGGTGTCGTCAGATCTGTTTTAATGGCGTCGAAAGCTCGTTGCTGTGGTGGACCCCATAACCACATGTTTGACTTCTTCAGAAGATCTCTCAACGGTCGGGTTTTCTCTGCCAGGTGTGGGAGGAACTTCCCAAGATGGTTCACCATACCCAGGAAGCGTCTCACCTCGCTTATATTTTTGGGCTCCTCCATGGCTCTTATAGCACTCACTTTATCAGGGTCTGGACTCACTCCTGATGCATCAATAATTTGTCCCAAGAACTTTATGCTGCGTTTAGAAAACTCACATTTGTCATTCAGTGTTACTTTCGCTTCCTGGAGTCGAAACAGTGCCTTCCTCAGTCTTTCATCGTGCTCCTGCTGTGTCGTCCCCCAGATGAGGACATCATCCATCTGACAAAGGACTCCATCCAGGCCCTCTAGAATCCGTGTCATGCGTTTCTGGAAGTGCTCTGGTGCTGATGAAATCCCAAAGCAGAGCCGATTGTAGCAATAGCGCCCAAAAGGTGTAATGAAGGTGGTGAGCAGGGAAGACTCCCTTGACAGTGGAATCTGCCAGAATCCAGCATTGGCATCCAATTTGGAGAACACTTTTGCTCCTGCTAGCTGTCCGAGCGTGTGCTCAACTGATGGCAGTGGGTGTTTTTCTCTCATGACATATTTATTCAGTTCTGTGAGATCAATGCATATCCTCACCTTGCCAGAGCTCTTAGGGACAACCACCATAGGTGCACACCAGTCTGTTGGCTCCTCCACTTTGGTGATGACCCCTTCCTGCTGCATACGGTTGAGCTCCTCTTTAACCTTCGGCAGTAGGGGGAGGGATATGCGCCTCGGCGTTGAGAGGGAGAAAGGCTGCGCATCAGGTGACAGAACAATGTTATACTCGCCCTCCATCAGTCCTAGTCCTCTGAAAAGTTTAGGAAACTCCTGCTTCACAGCATCAATGGAGTCCAAACTTATTTGGTTCACCCTGGCAACTAATTTTAATGCCATTGCAGCACGCCCACTCAGCAATGATGTACATAAATCCTTCACAACATAAATGTCCTCCTCAGTACTAACACTGTTGTTGCTGAGTGTTGCTGTAAACATGCCTTTCACCTTTAATCCAGTACCTCCTGGTCCCTGCAGGATTTTCTTTGGTTTCTCTAACTTACCAAATTGGCGCTGAGAATACAGTGTTTCTGGGACAGCAGTGACATCAGCTCCTGTGTCAATTTTAAATACAGTCTTATGTTTGTCCACCAGAATGTCCATCATCCATGGATTGTCTTTAACTTCTGCAGAAAGTGATCCCAGGAAAGCAACATCATTATTTGTCTCTGTGCTTTCTGTGGCAAACCCAGCATTCACTTCACATATTTTTTTATTTCTGCAGACCCTAGCAAAATGTCCCTTTTTCCCACAATAATTGCAGGCTGCTTCTCTAGCAGGGCATTGCTGCATACTGTGTCCTTTCGTGTCACCGCATCTTCTGCACTGTGCCTTTTTATCCTGTCTTGCTTTTGTGACGACATATTTGGGCGGCGCCTTCGGCTGTCTAGGCCGCACGCTCCCGCTCGCGTGAACGCGGTCCAACTGCGCGCCAGCTACGTCTGACTTAAAGTTAGCATGAAGCATCTCCTGTTGCTTTTTCACTAGCTCGCTCTGACGGGCTCTGTTTAACGCTTTCTCTAGCGTCAGTTCAGGGTCCATTTGTAACTGTTCTGATAGTCTTTTATCTCTCAGACCCACGACGAATCTGTCCCGCACCATCTCATCATGCAGCGTCCCGTATCCACAGTATTCAGCCAGACAGTGTAACGCGGTGTGAAAGCCGTCAATGGACTCACCCGTCTCCTGTTGTCGCTGATTAAATTTAGCCCGCTCAAATATAACGTTCCTGCGGGCTACGAAGTGAGCATCCAGCCGTCCCTTAACTGTGTCGTACTCACTCGCTTCTTGTGGAGTCAGATGCAGGGAAACCAGTATATCTTCTGCCTCGTCCCCCATGGTGTATATCAGCGTATTTACTTGGTTTTCGTCCGCTTGTGTCTCCAAACCAGACGCGATGCGAAACCTCTCGAAACGCTTTATCCATTTCGTCCAGTCTTCTGCTCTGAACGTGAATTTTTCCGGCGGGGCGACTTGAAACTGGTTCATGACGTTGAATTATTATTATTATGTTCAGCCGTCAGTTTTCTCTTCGCTGAGTAGTCTATACTTCTGACACCATGTTCTGTTCTCCGATATGTATATATAACAATATGTTGAGGCGACACAGAAGCACGCGTGACCACTCTTCAACTTAGCAGGTACACCCTTTATTTGTTCCCCCCGCCCAACACAATACAGTACAAAGGTTCCTATGCACAGATAGCCTGATACTACACCCAACACATGTCATCTGAAGTCACTAGCATCAGCACAGACCTCACAGACCGTCTGTAAGTTTTAGATACTGGTAAAGATTATCAGTAATCCAGGCCATAATCATGCTGAAAAAAGTTAAAAACAAACCAGGGGACTATGATTCCAAGTTTGAAGACGTTTCGCTTCCCATCAAGGAAGCTTTCTCAATTCAAAATGTCTGGATTAGCATTGAGTTTCAGGCTCATAGGGTGGCCCATACAAAAGCCTTGTTATGGCTTAGAAAACATGTAAATTGAAAAGAAAAAACATGTCCACCCCTTAGTAGTGGGGAGCCTTTGAGGTCATTGTTGGCCTTCAAAACCTGAAACTGGTCCATGCTTCTGAAAAGGGAATCATTGGGGGAATTGTTGGCCTGGCTGAACAACGATATGTTTTTGTCCCCTGTAAGGAGGTGGGGGTTGTGATGATAGTGGGAAGGAATCAACTCAATTGCTGCATTGTTGGTTATTGAAAGCTGAAATCGGAGCCAACCCCCTCTGTTCAAAGTTGTTGTTTTGTTTTTTTTTAAACATAGATAGCTTCCTTCACACCCCTTTCAAACCACCTGTCTTCTTTGTCCAAAATGTGAACATGCTGGTTCTCAAAAGAATGTCCTTTGTCTATAAGGTGTAGATGTACCACAGAGTCTTGTACCGGAGTGGTCGCTCTTCTGTGTTGGGCCATGCGTCTGTGGAGAGGTTGTTTGGTTTCTCCAATATAAAGATCAGAGCATTCCTCACTGCACTGAGCTGCATACACCACTCCACTCATATTTGGTCTGGGGGTTTTGGCTCTAGGATGCACTAGTCTCAGTTTAAGGGTTTGTTTGGTTTGAAATGTACTGGGATTTTGTGTTTGGAGAAAATCCTGTTGAATTTTTCAGAAACTCCAACAACATATGGGATGGCAATGTTTTTGCGTTTAATCTCCTCACTAGTATTTTCTGCTGGGTGTCTTTTGGATTTCCTTGCTGATTTTACAAACGCCCACTTTGGGTATCCACAGGTTTGGAGAGCATCTTTGTGGTGTTTCTGTTCTTTGTGCTTTCCTTCTGTTTTAGTAGGGACATGCTCATCCCGGAGTTATAAGGTTCTGATGACAGAAAGTTTGTGTTCCAGTGGGTGGCATAAGTCAAAAAGCAGATATTGCTCTGTATGAGTTGATTTCCTATACATCTCAATGTTGGGGTTCCTTTCTCCTTCAGTTTTAAATGTAAAGAAACAAAGAGCAAAAGAGATGTTATGAACATCTTTCCTGAAGAAATTAGTTTTAAATTGTCTGTTTTTTAGCTCTCAAGCAGACACCAAGTCCTGAGTCAAAACAAAGGGGTATAGTCTACTGTAGAACTGTTTATGATATCCCTCACCATGAAAAAAGTATTTTAATTCCTTAGTTGAGTAATCCCATGGTCAGAATCTGAATCAGCTGTATTGACCCCAGCTTTGTCTACAAACAGGTAATTCAACTACATTTTAAGTGCCCACAGCATGCTTATATTAAATCAATATATATGTATAAACTTTAAAAGAATATAAGGTTAAAGTTTGTTGCAGAGACAACTAATGGCAGATGTGAAGCCAATAAGACCGAATGCTAGGACTAGATTTAAAGGTGCTTTAATAACGTGTTACTTTTGGTTGAAAATGCAACGGGGATCACAGATCTGTACTTCCTCTAATACAAGAAGTGACTTTTTTATTTGTGGATTGGTGGTTTTACTAACTCTGCAAATCACTAGCGGATAAATTAGATTTTACTAAATTAGGTTCTGGTAACATAAAGCCTGCCTATGGAAGCTCCTGTACGTTGAGGGCCTGTTTGTACATGTTGCCATTAGCCAGGGTAGCCATGCATGCTCACTGTGGGGGGAGATGTTTTTCTGTAAAAGGAGCAAGAGCAGACCTGTTTCTCAACAACATACTACCTTCTGCACATTAATTGGGCTTTTCTTTTTTTGTTAGCCTGATTACAATACTGAAAAATAGCAGGCTGATCTGTTTGCTTAAGTAATCACTGCAATGAGCTTGCAGTGAAAGTAAACAATTACTTGCATTGTGCTTTAAACTTTGCAGCAATCCCTCACACTACACAGGCATATACGGACAGTGGAGAGGGAAACCTCCTTTATGGGAAAACACATCCAGCAGAACCAGGCTAAAGGGCTGGTTATCCTCCCGCAGCAGTGTGTTGCAGTGAGCTTGTCGCAGATATTTTTTTCGACTTATTCCCAATATTGAAGCGTGGTCTGCTCTATGTTATTCCATGCAACAACGCAAGAGGGCCAATCAGGAACCAGGAATCAGATACGGCCGAGGCGGTGAGGAAGTGGGGGCAAGTTTGTGTGACAACGGAGGGACATGAGAGCCAAAAAGAGCGGGGATCCAGGTGGAAAAAGGGTCCCAGCGTTCTCGCACACTTCGCTCTTCTAGCTGGTCCATCTTCAAGACTCGTTTTCCGCAATGGCGGTCATACAAAAAAAAAAAACCCACTTAGGTACCAAACAGGAAATGCTCATAGTGTAGAGCGGATGTAGATTTGACCAATCAGAGGCCTCCTGTCTGCGGTCACCTACAGTTTTGGAGAGGTGCAGCAGAGTGTCTGAGGAAGGGGCGGGGGCACATTTGCATTCACTGCGACACACATGCAGACGACCTGGTTTCTGAGTATCAGCCTTTAGAGCAGGGGTGTCAAACTGGTTCCAGAAAGGGCAGTGTGGCTGCAGGTTTTCTTTCCAACCAAACAATAGCACACCAGACTCCAGTCATCTCATCAAGGGAGTCTAATCTGAACATGATGACTTGATGAGATGAATGGAGTCTGGTGTGCTATTGTTTGGTTGGAAAGAAAACCTGCAGCCACACGGCCCTTTCTGGAACCAGTTTGACACCTGTGCTTTAGAGTGAACAGCTTTCTGCAACAACTGACTTCAAGTGTAAGGAGACAGAGATAGAGAAGGAACATAGAAGCACTAAAGGGAGAGTATATCTCATGTTAGCAAACTAATGGTAGCCTAGCTTTACAGTCATACCTTTTTGTCCAGTGAGAACCAGTTAAGAAAATAAACTGTGATAAATTTTAGGTCAAGAGGATGAATGAGAACACAAACATGAAAATAAATGTTAAAATTGTTTACTTTGCAGGGACACGTGGACTGTTAAAGTGATGACAACTGTTCAAGTATGATATTACCAGGCTGGTTTTAAAGTATCAGGTAGCCACCCTGTCAGCTTTTAAAGTTAAGTTTAAAACTTTCCTTTTTTCAAAAAGCTTATAGTTAGAGTTGCTCTGGTTATCCTGAGCTATCTCTACAGTTATACTGCTATTGGCTTAGACTGCTGGAGGACATAGGGACCTCTTTTCATCTTTCTGCTTCATTCTATGTCTATTCTGCCATCCTGCAATATTTGTTGCTTCAAATCATAATTGTATGCACTCTCCGCTTTATTTGTCATTGTAGCTTCGTCTGGGCTGTTTCTGTTTGTGCCTTTTATTTTCCAAGAGCTCTGACCCACTGGCAGATACACTTGGAAGACAGATAAAGATTTACATTGTTTGTTAAAAATGATCAGTGCAAGTGAACTTGGTTTGGAATGGGCTGCAACACAACTTAAGGAGAAGCAGATGGTTTGGTATTGCAATCAAAATCTTGAGATGAGGAGATTGAGTGGACTTACAAGATGGAGAAGAACGAGAGGAGATTCACTGGAGAACTGATTCTAATCCAGGATCTAGACAGCTGAAATTATTTAAGAGGAAGAGGATATTTTACAGCGATCTGGGTGATTCAAAGGTTTAGCTGTGACATCATTCTGAAGAAAAAGTATTAGCTTGGCTGCTGCCTTTAACACTTTTGTTAATAGATATTAGAATCGGGCCTATTTTAAATGTTTAGTCCAGTTTATATCCTAGACATAGCTATGGGCTCAGCTTTTACTGGGACTAATTAGATGTTCTCTCGTTAATCCATCTACATTTAAACTGACTCAGAGCTCGCCTGATTAACAGTTTCTTTTCTAGACAGGTCCACCTGCTGAGCTAGTTTTGCATTACCTTTTTTATGTCCAATTTGTTTTGTATGTTTCTCTCTCCTGCTGCTTCACTGTTGTTGGATGCACTCTTAGTTTGCGGGATTGCTGAAAAGTCAAAATGCAGGCGGATATTGTTGCCGTGAGCTCATCCATGAAGAGTGTTTTCTACAGTCAATGACATGATGCCATCCACTGATTTTCCTTGGTAGAAACTTTTTACTATTCTGACTGTATGATCTGTTCTCCAGGGGGGGATTTACCATTAGGCAATACTTGGCAGTTGCCAAGGGCCCCAAGTTCCCGGGGGGGACCATAAAACTCTGTTCACATGTATGGTTAATACAACTCTTCCTTATTTGTTCATTATGTAAAATGATAAAATAATAAAATCCTTTTGCTAAAATACCATCAGAACGCTTATAATAAGTGTGTCTCATCCCCCCCCTCCAATGTCCACCATATTGGATCAGTCCATTTGCTGCACATGTTCAGAAAGGTCCAAACAGACAGCAGCAAACCATTTAAAAAACAAACGGTGCAAAGAGCAGTGCTGCCAACTTAGTGCTGTTGCTGCAATATTTAGCGACTTTTCAGACCTCTCTGGTACTTTTATTTCAAAAAGCTCCAAATCTATCAACTTTTTTCTGCTACTGGAGACTGGAGAAAACATCTAAAAGCAGCGAACTCTGCTCTCCAGAGCCAATAGATTGGTAACCCCGCCTC